TGCGCTAACGCTACGGCTAACATTGTAGCGCTTTTCGCTACACTACGCTACGCTAACGCTACAGTTAGCGTAGCTGGCCCACCGTTGTGTCAAGTCTAGTATTTAGATAATAGAACTGATAAGTTATTGAGCTTCTTCCTTGTTTGTTCTGCTTTTGTACTTGTGATATATTGTATGTGAATAGATATATCTGAGGCCAGCCCAAATTCAAAGGAACACTTTGGTAGATTGAGAAGGATAGGACTGGTCCTGTTGAGATAATGGTGTACCTTATAAAGCCATCCTTGTAATGGCTTTGATCAGCTCAGAAAAAAATAAGGTTCAATATGTGAAGACTCGTGTTTAGGAAATTCACATTATTGTTGAATTCTTGATACAACAGCACATACATTTGTGATGTCATAACAGTGTGATCTTACACAGCTATTTATTTTCTTATCTGTTCTTCTTTTTCTTGTTGACTGTTGTTCCTTTTTTTCCTGTACTCTTTGTCTGTTAACCATTCTTTTTGAAGAACGACTTTATTTATCAACTTTTTCAACTTCAACATTCTCATACCTCTTTCTTGTTACCTTCATGAATTATCCTTATACCTTGACTACATCTAAAACCACTATTGACTAAATTCTTGTGGTTTTCATTTCACCAAGGACTCTACATCTAGGCAGACTATGAGAGGTTCTTATTTTCTTTTCTTCCAATTTTCTCCTCATTACCATATACAAATCTCTAACTGTCCTTTTATCTTTCTAAGTCATGCATAAGTCCTTCATCCTAGCCTTTTAGCAGTTTCAATCTTTCTCTTCATATCTAATCATCCATAGTGTGTTTCCTGATCTATCTAGTTAATGCTTTATTTCATTATTTCTTTTATCATTATTATATATTTCTTTTATTCTCTTACTGAAATTCATTCTATCCAGCAAAACTTTTCAATTATCCCCATGTCTTTTGATGAGCTGAACCAAAACACACAGTGTGCCCACAAGAGCCTCATGTCATGCTATGTGCCATTGTCTTTAAGGTAAAAATGAAACTTTGTGTTTCCTCAAGGACTGAGTTCAGCTAAAAAGGAATCCAGAAAACAGTGCATTGACAACACCAGATTGCCTCCTTACAAAGACCAGAAAAATAAACAACAATTATAACAACTCATGTCTCAAGAAATAAGCACTTGACGGTCAAGTAGATTGATCCCAGTCCAAAGCTCTGATTGGCTACTGTGTCATAGTGCAGACTTGATTTTATCACCGCCAGGAGTTGTAAATCATGTTGAAAATGACTGTGCACATATTATCTGAGCATCTCTCAACTCTTGCCCCCTTTCCCATATTCAGATCAGCCACCAACTGATTCTCCAAACAAAGCCTCAAAAATGTGGGATGCAATTAGGTATCCCTAGTAGACAATTGAAAGTTTGGGTTGTCTAGAAAAATGCCTTGTAGTGTTTGATGTTAATGACTTACAGTCCAACCAAAAAGATAAGATATCTCATCCGCCAATTGAGCTTTGTGTTGGCTGAAAATAAAGTGCAGTGACCACTGACCTGGATACATGCACAGTCATCCTTCAGCTGTGGCAAGGGTGGACCACAACACTAACAGTGATTCTAGATTCAATTCCAAAAGTTTCCATATGAATAAAATTTATGCACTAACAATAAATTTCATAGCCTAGCATCTAGGTTTACAGCACCCATTTTTTGTAAAACTTTCTTGTGGAATAACAAAAGTTGTTTGCCATTTCCTGTTGGTGTGCTGGCCCACTGATGGCTGTGGAGATGAAGAGCTAAAGCTCCCCTGTTTGTTATGACTCACCCAAAAATTGGTGGGGATGGTTAGATGGTGATAGGGGCTGTGGCAATCAGGCCCGGCCTGGTTTCCACTAAGGTCTTAAACCTGACTGAGAAGATGTTGAATTATCCAATCCCTCCTCCCATTCTGAATATGAAATGTCAATTCTCACTTGCATCTGAATCTCATCAAATGAAACCTAACCAACTCGCCCCCCCCTCCTCAACAAAAACTTTTTTGGCCACACCAATACCGGTCTTTTTCTTTACACGCTTATACAAGTAAAAAGTGGAGAAAGAGACTGGTAAGCACTTTTCCCTAAAATACGCCAATATCAACAAACAAACAAACAAACTGAATCCCATTCCTTTCTCATTTCTTTTTCTCTTTTCCTCTTCTTATATCTAGACTTAGTCCTACATGTGTAGAGACAGACAAAATGAAGATGTGTCTGGTGAGAGTCGAACTCACGACCTCAGCTAAGCTGAGAGACATACTAGAGTGCTGCTTTTACCAACTAGGCTACAGATGCTTGTGACTGCCAGGGTTGTTGGGTGGTAGTGCTCATGGTTCGACATGTAGTGATACATCATGGTAGCAGACTATCAGACACCTCAACAACATGTGTCCTCCGTAATCATCATCATTCAAAATAGAAATAAAACTTACTGCACATTTGTAGGTATGGAATTGTCTTTCTCATCTTATTTTATCTCATTCAAAGTCTTATCGTTGCTTCTTTTTATCTGACTGATATCTTATTTTTTTTCTTCTTCTCATTCATTTTCTTAACTATTGTTCAGGTGTGTCGGGAAAGTCCAGAGTCAGAGTCGTTGTTGTTGTTTTGCTTATCAGATCCTGTCTTTATCAATAAAGGTTTGCTATATGTATATATTGTTTCTTTCATCTTTCATTTTTCCTTCATGATAAATAATAAAAGAAACACGCTTATTTAAGTAAAAAGTGGAGAAAGAGACTGACTCAGTCCTACGTGTGTCCTGTTGTGACATGTCATTCTAGGTGTCAAACTTTAGTCATCATTTATCACATATCACATAAATCATCTTATAGTTTTTTACATAGTTTTTATTATGGTTTTAGGTTTTCTCTCTCTCAAACCCAAGTACATACTTTCTCTTGTATATAAACCATCTTATTATTTAGTAATCTATTTCCCCTTTGTAAGAATCGGGGTTACGTACTAATTAAGAGTATTTTAATAGGATGAATCGGGATAAAAGCTGAAGGAACTAGATATGCGGAAATAATTACTGACACACGTTCTTCCACAAGAGGAATTTATTTGACATAGGCAAAAGACGATAGGTCAAGAGCAGAAGGTCGGATGGATCTCGTATGGAAAAGCGAAGTCTTGTAATATTTAAGAAGAGTTGTTTATCAGTTGTTTTTCCCGTTTTCCTCTTTTTCTTATCACAATATTTTTGTTTTCTCTTATTATCATTGCAATCCGCGAAACCATTAAAGACCTTACTTTACAAACATCTCATTATCAGTCTGATAAGACCGTCGCCTTCTAGTTGTCCTTAGCTTGTCTACTTGACATTCCTTCAAGACATAATGTCTTTGGCGCGTCCACTGTAGTACCTTAGTTATTACAATAATATCGCAATCTTTTAAAAACCCTTCTATTAAGACCTTACCATGGAGACTCCTCAACAAGACCGTGTCCAAGAAATTGCCAACGCCCTCTCAAACCTCCAGATCAACCACCAAACCGAACAACAACGCTCGGAATTCCTCACCAATGAAATCTCCTCCTTGAAAATGGACCTCAACTCCATCAAGCTCACCCTCCAAGACGTCACCCAACGTCTTCTCGCTTTCCACCATCAACTCTCAAATTTCCAAATCCCCGTTCCTGCTCCTCCTCCTCCTCCCCCTCCTCATCCTGCCTTTTCCGCCGTCTCCCTCATGCCCCACGCTTCTTTCTCTGGTAATCCGAAGGAGATTAATCAGTTTATTTATTTTGTAAAAGACCGATTAATAGAAGCTGAATCTTGCTTTCTCAATGAGAAAAGTAAGATAAATTGGGTTGTTCAACACTTTTGTTTCCATAATGATTCTATTTCCCGAATTCCCCCTTCTTATAACTGGTGGATGTCAATTTTAAAGGAGAATGCTCGTCTCCAAGATTTAGATACTAAGTCTGTCTCAGCTGAGGATCCATATATCTTACCTTGTCTAGTCTCTATTAGAAGTTTCTTATCTAACTTGGAAGAGGTTTTTGCAGATAGAAGTAGTGCATAAGATGCCAAGAGAGCTTTGTATAACTGTAAACAAGGCAATCAGCCTTTAGATGTTTTTAATTTGTTGTTTAGTTCTCTTGTTTTTGCTGTAGATTTAACTGGGGAAAGCCGGATCAAAGTTTATAATGTTGAGCAAAAGGCATCTGCGAACTTATGTATACTCTCGGCTCAACCATCGCAGGAGCTGTCACAGGACCTATCACAAGAGTTAAGCAACGTCCGGGCTTCTGAGCTCGACATCGACGATCCCCGACTACCCGAACTACAGTCTATAGAACATGCGGAGCATGTTTGGAGCGCATTTAGCCAGCGCCAAAAGGTTTATAATAAAAGAAAGAACATAAATAGTCAATCGATGAATAGTTCAAATGAGGAACTAGCTGAGATCATCGATGATAACGCAAAAGTCATCGCAAGCAAAATAAAAGCAGCAACAAGATTAAATGCTCGCAAGAGAAAAGCTTTTTGGACTGAACTTGAAATGTCCAAGAAACGCCGAGTAACACTCGGTAAATATAGAATGCGACCAGTGAAGCACACTGGGAAAGCAAGCATACTCAAATGCTTCAATAGGAGAGGAGGAGCTTACGGACTTGTACACACCCATCAGTGGTGGACTTTAGTATAAAAGGACTCTGCTCTCTACCCAAGTTGTATTTTCATTATCTCTTTACATCATCTTTTATATATCATCATCTACATTAGTGTACATACATCTTTATCCTGTCTGGTAGCCTCGCTCAACAGACATACATACTAGCAATTAAGCACATAAACTTATTTCACAAACTCAACATATAAGGCATCTCTCAACCCAAAGATTTTTGAAATCGGCATCCAGAAGGACTCTTGGAAGGAGGCAACCACTCTTTGAGCCAAGATGGACCTTGCCATTCTTGCTTCCAACATCTTGGACGAACTTAACACTCTTTGCAGCAATATGTCAATGAAAAGACCGGACTTTCAACTTTTGCAACCACCACCACCACCTCCGCCTCCTCAACCTGTTGCAGCCCCCACTCCTATGGATATCGATGCCATCACGGCAAGTATCGGTTTCCCCTTCTCCGCTTATCGCGCCCTTTGTGTCAAGAATAATATTTGTCAGTGTTGTCAAAAGACATACAATGAGACTCACATCAAGAACCGTTCTTGTCCTAATACGGAGGTCGCTATGAAAGACAAGCTCGACCTCTTTTCTCAACTCTTGCAAAGCAACCCCCCAACTACTCATCTCAGCCAGATCAACTTGGCACCTGCCTTCCCTTCCTTTCTTTCTGGATCTTGGGATCATATTGGTACTGGTTTGTTTGCCAATATGCTGATGTATGGTCATGATGAGGATGGAAATCCAATTGATGATGATGGCAAGTTCATTTCTTCAATTTCCTCTTTATCACCTCATACACCCTTTCCTCCTCCCTCTTCCTCTTCTAGACTAGTTCTTCCGATTCAACTTCTACTTCCTGGCAACTTTTCCACCATAGCATTGGCTCTTATTGATTCTGGCGCTGGCAACTCTTTTATCAACCATGACTTTGTAAGAACAAAGAACCTTGATTTGACTGACTTGGCTATTCCTTTCTCTTGCAGAAGTTGTCAGGCTAAGTGATGCCAAGAGTACAACTCTTCTAGCTACACTAGCTGCAAGAGTAAATATGGTATGTGTACACGTGTGGGTGACACGTGAAAAGTGGGGGAAGTGTGTGTAAAATAAAAGAAAATAGTAAATAAAAACTGTTAAGTTTTTATTTACAGAGGGGCCTGAGTTGCAGGGGTTTTTTACTGTGCCCTCTAATTCAGGTCCTGAGTTGCAGGGGTGGTACTGAAGTTCTGGTCCTTTATAATAAAGGAGTAAACCCAGAAAAAAGTCTACTACTGAAGAAACAAAGAGATAATACTTACTGGTACTTATCTCTAAGCCAAGGAGGTCTTCAGGAGAGGGGGACTGTTCTTGAAGCGCTCAGAAAGGTGAGTGAGAGTTGTTGGGAGAGTGCTGGGGAACAGGTGTTGGGTTGTTGAGTGAAATTCAGGTTGATAACAGCAGGAACTGGGCCAAAAGGCAGGTTGAAACTGGTTGTTGGTGACGGTTTATGCTGGTAAGTACTGATGAAGATGGGGATTCAAAGTTCAGGGGAAAGAAGGGGCTCTTAACTACCCATTCTGGGCCTCTGGAGGCGAACTCAGGAGTCTCTCTAGTTGCTACAACTCTCCTACTAAGCCTATGGGAGCTTTTGATCATCTGTAGCACCTGTAGAGCTTGGTTACAGGTGCCAAGGAGATGATGTAATGCTTGTAACCATGTTTACAGGGTGTTCTGAAGAAACTGTAACACTCCTGTAGCCTTTGTCAGCACTGCATGATGCATGGGTTGATCCTCAAGAGAGTAATTATCCCAATTGGGCCAAAAAGGGCCACAGATCATCCCAAACAATTTAATACTGTAGTCTGTGCTCATGTAGTTAAGGTTTCAATGATTTAAACCTTGTTTGTAGATTGTTCCCGAGCTGCATGAACCTTAATTACACATGTAGCCCTCTTACAACATGTAGTATGATGTAACTGGAGGGGTCTACCGTGTATTCTGGTCCAATATCACTCAAGGACTACAAAGTAAGTGAAGGAGTAATAATTCAGGGGTACACTTGGTGAGCTACCCTAGGTTATTTTGCATGTAGATTCAGAATCTGCAATAATATGCTGAGTTATACTTAAGGTTCAGAAGTTATTAGGAGATTCTGGTTAAAACTGTTATTTTCCATTATTTATTTAATTGTTTAAATGTTTTTCTTTTAACATATTAAAATATAAGTGTACTATGTAATAATGTCTCTATTATAGTGCTTCCACTTATTTAAATAGTATATTTTATTATTTTAAATGTATGTACATATATAAGTAATAATATCTCTAATTTATATGTAAAATGCTATGTTCAGGCTGGCTCTGATTAGTAGCAGGCTGACAGAAGTTTTGATGGATCACCAGCCTCCTCCGGCAATTTCACAAGGTGCTGGCGCGGACGCATAGCCTTATCCAATTGCCTTAATCACTCTTCCTTATCTTCTGTAGTTTCTGATGTCGTCTCTCTCTCTTCTGTTGATGTAATTCTTGGTCTTCCTTGGCTCAAAGCAAATCGCGCTTGGGTTGGGGGTTCCAACAGACAACTGTATTTTGAATCTGCTTCTCTTTGTAACTCGTCTCTTTCAATCTCTTCTCACTTGCTTAATGTCTCTTCTATCACTAATAATATTCATCTGAGTTCCACAGAAATTCTGTTGTTACCTCCCAAACTTGGGTTTTGATAAACGCACTCCCTCCCCCTCCCCGCACGCCCACGCCCACACCCTCCAAAAGGGGCGTGCGATTGAACCCGCCCCTCCTGGAGGGGCGGGTTTGATTGCACACCCCTTGGAATCCTGCTTTTTCGAGGAAACAGCCTTCCGAGGGGCGTGCAGAAGCACCCGCCCCTGTGGATTTGCACGCCAGCCAAGAACCGACATAGCTTGGTTCTTGGATGGGTTTGAATCCAGCCCATCGCCTCCCGATGAGCTGGACTGTGTAGCAGCTCATCGGGGGAACCCTCCCGGTGAGCTGGTTTTAAATCCAGACCATCGGGAGGGTTTCCTCCCAATGAGCTGGACTGTGAGGCAGCTCATCGGGAGAAAACCCTCCCGATGAGCTGGTTTTAAATCCCATCAGGAGGTTTCCTCCTGACACTAAAAGCAATACTGATTTTGCCCCAAGGAAAAATAGCAATTTGGATGGTGGAAAATAGATCAATTTTCTGGCACTTTTTTACAAGATGCCTCAGGAGTAAAAAATTAGGCTAAAATGAGCTATTTTAGCCAAAAAATAAAAATGTCTCAAATGAGCTAAAAATTCATTTTGGAATGTTTGATGAATTTCTATCTCAGGGCTGAAATAGCTCAGTTTAGCCTAATTCTACT